ACACAGAAATGCTATGCGTTGCTATAATCTGTTTAATGTAAAGGCAGCTACAACATGTTCACATGCACGTTTTCCACAAACTCCTGTTTGCATAAACTCTCCCATGCCATTAAAATACATGCTTGGAGTATTTATGAGATTACTGATGTCATTACGCTGACTTGGCCAGACCGATGTTCTGGGACTGGGCATTAAAGACGGCATAGTATTCCCGGATGAAAACATCTCCCAAGATCCAGAGCTGCATGGTGCCACCCTGACCAAAGCCAGTCATACAACCAGAGGAGCTCTGTGGACAGGGGAGAAAGAAAAGATATATTTCTTCAAATCGTCATTATTGTATTGTATTATTTGGCGCTGTGGTTGGCAGGACGGTCTTACTGACCTGAGAAACATAGGCAGATGCAGGGACTGTGAAGGCGTTTCCATTGAGAGTGAAGGTGACATCAGGCATGCTCGGGATGTTCTGGCAGTTCACTGTAGCCTGTCAGCAGAACAAAGTCAGAGGCCATGAGGCAGAAGAAAATCTGTTTATTGGTATTTTACAGTTTTCCAACTGAAGCAGCTATCCGAATCCCACTTAATTATTTTTATTTCAAAGTTCTGACGTCAGAGTCTTAAATGTTTGTTTACTCTGGGTTCAGAAAAAGGGGGAAATTTGTGTCACGATGGTATGACTCACGTCTCCTGACTGGTCGGTTGAGGCTCCAACCCAGCTATTCAGATTGTTGATGTCAGTGGTTGGACCAACAATCAGGGAGGTGCCAGTGTCGATGATGGCCTGGCACCCGCCAGAGCAGGCTACAGTCTGCCCGTTGATGGTAACACTGTGAAGAGGAAAGTTGAATTACAGTCAAGCCAAGAAGTTTTATAACCTTGTGATTTTTTTGTGTCTGATATGAAGCTATAAGCAAAGATGTTGGGTAAACAGCTTTTGGATGACTTATTGGCACCTGTCCATGTTGATCTGCCAGTAGGTGGCAGAAGACAGAGGGATCCAGGTGATTGTTCCAGTGTAGTGGGTGCTGTCAGTACCACCAAAGACCACCTCGCTGCCCTGTGCACTATTGCTAAGATATTACACACACACAGAGAGAGAGAGAGAATCATATCATAAATTCACAAAATATACTCAAAAAGAAAAACCCAATAAAGATTTTCCAGCCAACTGAATTCCATTTTATTTCAGTACCCGCTCAGGTAGACTGAGAAAATGGGCTCTGACACCAGCCCCTGAGTGATCATGTTGTTAAAAACTGGTACAACATTGTCAGAGGCGATGCTCTGGAAGGCCAGTCCTAAGATCCCATCAGCCTGCATGTAAGTCATGAAGGAAGCTTCTGACTCACTCAATCCAAACACCTGCTTGGCCACAGAGATGCCGCCCACCTGGACATGCAAAACAGCTGTCACTCACAGTTCAGCAAACCACAGAGAGATGCCCATCTGAAGTCTAAATAGACTATGATTTTTGTTCCACGGCTTTTGGTTACCTGAACAGTGTCGCTGCCCAGTAACCCAGTCATGCTGCCAGTCCCGTACTGGATGGACAGAGACTCGTCACCCCACTGGAAGGTGGATGACTGTGATGGGTTGAATTGATTGTGGTTCTCTGCAGAGGAATGCATTTTTAAGTTTTGCAATTTTATACAACTTGGATGTCTAACATTTCAGTGATGGCAATGAGTGTTGTTCTGCTGGTAAAGTTACAACTAGAACAAGCTAGAAAGAACGTGCTAGCAAAGTAAACCAATTCATTATGTGGAGAATCTTGCAAGTGCAAATACTGCAGAAATCTCAAGTCACTGTGATAG